CTTTGAGTTAGCAGAATTAAATTCCAGACCCAAGACGTTATTTGTTAAATACTTTTTATCAGTCTCTTTAATAAGAGTTTCTTGCAAACATATCATGGTTCATTTTTTTCAAATAATGAAATAACTTTTTTCTCTTTTGTGGGGAATTTGCCTCATGAATTTGCCCCTATGTCAAAATCTTGTAATCCATCGTTTATGAAGAGGAAGTTCCAGGGATTCCAGCTGAGGCTCCCATCTCCAGAGCCTGTCCTTCATAAGCGTCAAACCTCTTTTTATCTTTTTCTTTCTGATCTTTATCTTTTGAAAAACAGAGTAGTTCCAATTCATGTTTTTCCAAAAAAGCTTTATGGACTGAATTTAGTCTATACTGTTGATTTCTAAAGGTAAAGATAACTTTTCCAGCTTATCCCAGCGAAAGGGAATATTATTTTGTTTTAGGAGATTTGTCAGGAAAAAATATTCTTTGTGTTTCCTTAATATTGTAATTGTAATTTCTCTGAATATTTACATTCTTTTCCAGAAATGTTAACTCTCTGCTGGTAGTGTTTCTGAATTACTTGCTCTTTAGTATATTTTCTTATAAATTGGATCATAACATCTCTTGGCAGTTGTCTTCTGGCTGCATATGCAGAATTTATTCTGTAAATCTTGTCTATTTTTTTAGAGAAGTTTACTTTCTCATCATTAAACCATTTAGTCATTTCTGTTTCAATTACATCACTCAAGCTGCGAATTTGCTCAGGAATTCCTCTAAGTCGCAGAAAAACTTATTTCTGTTTCAAATCCAATAACAGTAAATTTTGGTTAAGAAGATTTAACCTTGTGTCTATCTCATCCATTCTAATCTGTATATTTTAACATCTTTTTTAGTTTGTTTTAACTCTGATACTAATAATTCAAATCTTTTATTGGATTTTTCATTCATCTCTTTTACTGTGTCTTGTAGCATGTTGTTGTTGTTGTTGTTAATTGTGAAGTTGTGTCCGACCCATCGCGACCCCATGGACAACGTTCCTCCAGGTCTTCCTGTCCTCTACCATCTTCTGGAGTCCATTTAAATTCACACCTACTGCTTCAGTGACTCCATCCAGCCATCTCATTCTCTGTCGTCCCCTTCTTCTATTGCCCTCAATCTTTCCCAGCATTAGGCTCTTCTCCAGTGAATCCTTCCTTCTCATTAGGTGGCCAAAGTACTTGAGTTTCAACTTCAGGATCTGGCCTTCTAAAGAGCAGTCGGGGTTGATCTCTTCTAGGACTGACCGGTTTGAATGCCTTGCAGTCCAAGGGACTCGCAGGAGTCTTCTCCAGCACCATAGTTCAAAGGCCTCAATTCTTTTGCGCTCAGCCTTTCTTATGGTCCAACTTTCACAGCCATACATTGCAACTGGGAAAACCATGGCCTGGACTATACGCACTTTTGTTGGCAGGGTGATGTCTCTGCTTTTTAGAATGCTGTCTAGATTTGCCATAGCTTTCCTCCCCAGGAGCAAGCGTCTTTTAATTTCTTGGCTGCAGTCCCCATCTGAGGTGATCTTGGAGCCCAGAAAAATAAAATCTGTCACTACCTCCATTTCTTCCCCATCTATTTGCCAGGAATTGAGAGGGCCGGATGCCATGATTTTGGTTTTCTTAATGTTGAGTTTCAAGCCAACTTTTGCACTCTCCTTCTTCACCCGCATCAAGAGGCTCTTTAGTTCCTCTTCACTTTCTGCCATTAGAGTGGTATCATCTGCATATCTTAGGTTGTTGATATTTCTCCCGGCAATCTTAATTCCAACTTTTGATTCATCTAGCCCTGCCTTTCTCATGATGTGCTCTGCATATAAGTTAAATAGGCAGGGCGACAGTATACAGCCTTGCCGGACTCCTTTTCCAATTTTGAACCAATCAGTGGTTCCGTGTTCGGTTCTCACTGTTGCTTCTTGACCCGCATATAGGTTTCTCAAGAGACAAATGAGATGGTCTGGTACTCCCATCTCTTTAAGAACTTGCCACAATTTGTTGTGATCCACACAATCAAAGGCTTTTGCATAGTCAATGAAGCAGAAGTAGATGTTTTTCTGGAACTCCCTAGCTTTCTCCATGATCCAGCGTATGTTGGCAATTTGATCTCTAGTTCCTCTGCCTCTTCGAAATCCTGCCTGTACTTCTGGTAGTTCTCGATCCACATACTGCTGGAGTCTAGCTTGTAGGATTTTAAGCATAACTTTACTAGCATGTGAAATGAGTGCAATGGTGCGATAGTTTGAACATTCTTTGGCATTGCCTTTCTTTGGAATTGGAATGTAAACTGACCTTTTCCAATCCTGTGGCCACTGTTGAGTTTTCCAAATTTGCTGGCAAATTGAGTGTAGCACTTTTACTGCATCGTCTTTTAAGATTTTGAATAGCTCAGCTGGAATACTGTCACCTCCACTAGCTTTGTTGTTGCTCAGATTTTCTAAGGCCCATAGAAAAACCTTTTTTGTAGCATAGAAAAACCTTTTTTCAAATACTTCCATAAGGAGTTTGGTGCTGGGCTTTTCCGAGTCATGTTTTAATTCCTTCAGTTCCTTTTTAGGAGACATTTTTGCAAATATCTTCTCTTTTAACCTGTTGCTGGAAGCAGAAAAGCAGGAAAGAATACACCATTCTCTTTTCAAGGTCAGATAAGGAGTTCCAAATGCAAAACTAAGCAGCTGGCAGGAGAAATAGTGTTGATATACAAACTCACAGCCTAGAGGGAAAAAAAGAGGTTTCTAAGCTTTTAATGCAGAAAGCTGAGAAGTGTATGCAGAGTGCAGAAGAAATAGAATAAAGATATAAAGTATTTTCAAGTTGATAATATATAGAAGTTGAATACAGTTAAATCAGTAACTCTTTTTCTCAGTAATCTAAAAAAACCTTGTTAATTAATTAACATGATTAATGTTAATCATGTTAATAATGTTAATGACAAGAATGATGAATTATTTCAAGACACTCCTACGGTATTATTAAATCAAGTCCACGAGCAGTTAACCCGCAAAAGGTTAAAAAAAATTGCAAAGTATGAAGTTAAAACAGAGGCGTCTTTGAAGAGATTGACTGGGTGGACATGGTGTCAGTCCTCTTCTTTGGCAAATTTGCCAGGGAGAAGAAATTTGCTGAATATTCCCACATACCTCCGGCCAAGGAATGCCATCCAAGAAGCTTCAGGATGATTCCATTCCACTCCTTTTCCAATTCAGGAGTGAAGTAGCTACGGAGACCTGCTCTGTAGATATCAAACCAGCCATTTGTTTAGCAGAACAAAGATTTGTGCTGCTAGTTCAGAACAGCATACTGGGCGGACAACTTAAGATTTGTTAAAGCAAAAAATATATAAAATATTTTTACTGAGATTTAATTACTTGTTTAATTTATAAGCCACCACAATTGTACAAGCAGGTCTAGATGGCAAATCTTTAAAAAGAATGACAAAAATAAAAAAAATTGGTAATGGCAATAAAACAATACTAACATACATTAATAACGTCTCTTTCAAAGAAGAAGAAATAATTCATCTGGACCAAATTTCCACAGAGCTTGTCACCTGCTTTCCTCCCCCAGTTTTTTTAAAGTTTCATCATCACATTTTTATATCAACAACAAATTGAATTTATAACTGCAATCACAGCACATTAATTTGAGAGTAAATTGTATTGAAGTAAATGTGTTTATAGATTTACATTTTATATCTACATTAGGAATATTAATGGAGAAAAAAATAGAGAAAATGTGTTGGGTAAGGTTGTGTACACCTCAAGAAATGTCACCATTCAATAGATTTACAGTATGTTCTCTATCTTTTTCCTTTGTCCACATGTCTATGGAGGGCAAACAATTGTCTATATTGTCTATGTCTATGATAAGATCTGATATACTTTCTTTCATATGCAGCCTAGCTATACTACCTGAGAATTATAGGAATTGTTGGAAAATGCATCTAGGGTCAGCCATACTGAAAGAGGCTAGTGTAAGATATAACATTGTCACTTGTGTAAGTAGTAAAACCATGGAAATCTGAGCTCTGACTTCATGAAATGAGTTGTCCCTCATCTTCATCTTACTCCAAAGGTTGGAGAACATATTTCAACATTCCAGCCTGGAAAGATCTTGAAGAGGTTGAAACTAAGGTCCTGTCATATGGAATTTCTCATGTTCTCCTGTTTTTCAATTTATTGCCAGTAGAATCAAATCTGGAAGATGCTAATTGGAAAGCAGTGACTGCCAATAATGTTCTAGGGAAGCTAGTTATCTATCTCCAGTTTCATATCAAGGCAAACAGCTATGAGAAACAGTAAAATATTTGGTCCCAAGACAGGAGCTAATATTTAAACTCTTGGTTTGAATACTGTATTCTGTTTTTTCCATTGAGGTTATAATCATGATAACTCATCAGAACTACAAGACATTGTTCAATATATAATCATGCATAAAATGCAGTCTAAATTTTACTGATAGGTAATGGGAAAAGAACACAATAACAAGAGTCTTCTTGAGCCATAAACATTCTTGAGATGAGGAGACCGATGGCAGACAATATTGCTCTATTCCTGAGCAAGCAGCTGAAAATGGACAAACTTCTGTTCTGGAAATAAATTGTATTTTGCTTCCTCTGTCCTAAATCTTATTTAATAGTTTTTAAAGTAGTTTGCAATGATTAGCATATGTAGAAACTTAACTTACTTAGTATTTAATAAATTTTTCAATTTCTGGCTAAAAGAGGGATTTTTCTTCACAATAAACCATTATGTGCTTTGTTCTGAATATATTTTAAAGAATATGTTGTGTCAGTTTCAGTTTTCTATATGGTTGTTTTACCAGAACAGAACAGAATAATAGAGTTGGAAGGGACCTTGGAGGTCTTCTAGTCCGACCCCCTGCTCAAGCAGGAAGCCCTATACCATTTCAGACAAATAGTTGTTCAATTTCTTCTTAAAAACTTCCAGTAATGGAACACCCACAACTTTTAGAGGCAAACGGTTCCACTGGATAATTGCTCTAACTGTCAGGAAATTTATCCTTAGTTCTAGGTTGGTTCTCTCCTTGATTAGTTTCCATCCATTACTTCTTCTTCTAACTTCACGTGCTTTGGAGAATAGGTTAACTACCTCTTCTTTGTATCAACCCCTTAGACATTGGAACACTACTATCATGTCACTCCTAGTGCTTCTTTTCATTAAACTATACATGCCCAATTCCTGCAACCCTTCTTCATATGTTTTAGCCTCCAGTCTTCCAATCATCTTGGTTGGTCTTACCTGCACTTCTCTGGCACTCTGTATCAAAAAAAGGATACAAACAAAAACAAAAATTAACAGATAAAGGGGTGAAAACATGACATCATATGCTGTCGATATGCTATACAATTGAAGAATATCTTACTTGTTAAAACGCCCACTGAAATTTATTTTTTAATAAACTGCCTCCCCCAACAATTATTCTTTTACTTAAGTAGTTAATATTTAAGAGGCATTTGATTCAGATAAATGAAATAAATAAGTAATAGAAAAGAAAGCAACAAGTAATACAAACAAATAAAAATATATTGCATTGTTAAATGCCAAGAGGTGAGCTCCTTGTATATCATACCTCCTAAGCACTCTGAGTGCATACTTTTATAAAGTTATTTACTTTATCTAATGTGAGATTGATAATGTGAGATTCACATTTATTCTGAAGAAAATCCTATTTTATGCAGTCAATGAAGCTTTCTTCCTAATAAGAAAGTTTAGAATTGCAGCCTTAATTTGAATGAGTTATAAAGATTGTTTTAGTTAGATATATAATTAATCTCGTTAGTGTTGTAATACTGTAACAGCTGTTAATTTTTTAAATTTTACCTTTGTTGAATTTTCACAAAATAAAGATTAAAAGCTACAATTAGATCTTGGTATGTTTTTGTATTACTTTTGAAAGCATCCCATTTTTATTTAAAGATATGTTGAGCTGTAGGACATTTATACAGCACAGTGTAGATACAAAATTAAAGATAATGATCCTCAAGGATATTCAGAGAGATTGTCCAAATCTCTGCTAAGGCACTATATTAGATCAGCTGCATCTCTGAGAGATCTCATTTTGAAAGTATATAAATGGGTTGGATCAGTATATAAATCTAGGGGGGTTTTAATGCTGGAGAGAATCAACCTAGAATCAAGGAGAATTTTTCTGACAGTTAGAACAATTAATCAGTGGAATGACTTGCCTCCAGAAATTGTTGGTGTTACAACAATGGACATTTTAAAGAAGAGATTGGACAACCATTTTTCTGAAATAGTATAGAGGGTTTCCTGCACGAGCAGGGGATTGGACTAGAAGACCTCCAAAGTCTCTTCCAATTCTGTGTTTCTGTTCTGTTATTTCTGCTGGTGTTAAAACTGTGTCCACCAAAGTTTACAGTATTCTTTTGTGTTCTGGTGGAAGCTTGGTTCACATACTAAGTCATGGTGTATTTTAATAAGTTTGTTGAATAAAGCACAGTATTTGAGTTCAGCTAAGTCAAAACTAAACCAACTACATTTTAAGTTGAAGAGAGGCCTGAAACTAACCAACATCCTCATGTTGTGGTTTGTTTGCAGTTGGTTTAATATATTGCAGTTGGTATGTTGTTGGAACTTAATAATTGTGGTCTCTACGTCATGATATATGGCTTAATGTGTTACATGAATCTGGCCAATTGAGATGTATTCCATAAATTGTAGTGCGTAATGTTATGTTTAATCCAACCCAAAAGATTTTCTGTTCCAATGGAGAGGTATCTAGGGTCCTTGAGTTGTTGCTCCAACTCTAATTTCCAGCTAGCACTAAAGGCTCTAGAACAGTTATTCAGCAACATGATTAGGGCCATAGATTCTCCCTCCTTGTTTTTCTTTCTTTTATGAATATAGAAGAAAATGCCACTCACTAAGGAATTAAACATGCTCCCATTTTCCAGTTGATATAAAGGCATGGGGATAACAGATAAATATGAAGCTCTGTTTTAATTTACATATACTGTATTTAAATTATAATTTATTGAAATTTAATACAATCACTTTAAATCTACTAGATTATACCTATATTTATGTCCTACATTTTTGCATTATTCTTCTATCTCTTAAAGCTTTTATAGACAAACAAATCCCTCTGAAATAATAGTGCATTTCTACATACTTATAGCTTTAGAAAAGCTATAAGAAGGAAGAAACCTGCCTGAAAAAGGCTTTTTTTCCCCCAAATTTTAACTTCTCTAATTTCTTGCACAGATATGTGTAAACAATTAAAAAGATGCATGCTCTTCTGTATCTTATATAATAAAAGGAAGTGTTTGGGATTTAAGAAAAGCTTACTGGTTGAAGTAGTATCAAGTTTCAATTGTAGATTGGCTTAGTCAATTGAAAGGCAACAGAATTTCTCCTTACATACAATTAGACCACAATTTCTGTATGCTTAAACTAGGTCTGTAATTATAGATTATACTCTAGTCAGACCTGAAGGTTATAATTTAAAACTATCATAGCAACTGTAGTTCAGGTTCAACCAAATCCTATTATGGCGATTTAGTGCAAGAATGAAAAGAAAACCTAAAAATGTAGTCACATCTATTTTTAATAAGACAGTATGAAGCAATGACTAATAGTGTACAATTGTAAGCCAAAATGCAATGAAAAGCTGATCACAATTGTTTTTCTAAACCGCAATGTGCAGTCTTAACTATGGCTTTTCCTTATAATTTAAAACATTTAACATGTATCCAAAATATATTCTAAGGAAAAAGCAGAATAGATTAAATTCAACTTTTCTTAATTTGGGGAATCCAGTTATTTTGGTTTATATTCATTCTCCTTTAGCCTGGCCACTTTCATTTCTTGGTGTATTTCATAAGAGTTTATAAAATGGCTATTAATTTGCATAGAAAGGAAGTTATTGTATGTCACTACATATATATTTAGTTTACTTTTCAGAGTCTACCCAGGATTTTAACCAGCTGTCCTTTAAGCCTTGTCTGGAGTGCCATAGACTGGAGAAGATCTGGTATATAAAAATACATGCTAAACCAGAAAAAATATTTATTTCTTTTGTTTATACATTTTATAGACAAACAATCTCTTGTTTTCAAAATGTAAACTTTTCAAAACTTTCAGGCTACTAGTTAGACTACCAACAAACCTGTTATTTTCTCAAGGACTTTTTTTTAATGCTGCAAGTGTAACTTCCTCTTACCACTGTTTCTTATCTTAGCTAAAATAACCAGTTTTCTTGTTTATACTTCTTCTTTTTGATAGTTCACTTTTACTTGATTAATGCTGTAAATCTAGACAAGAATATGAAATCATCATAATGCCCTAGGTTTAACTGTTTAATTTTGTTTGATTCCAGCTCAGCTGAATATCTGCTGTAATAAACTTTATTTGGAAAAAAAGAAGACGTTATGCCTTTAAAATGTTCCAGTCTACCATGGAGGTAGAATGGTTAAACCAGAATTTTAGTCCACATCAGACCATGTTTCTATCTATTTATCCATCTATCAAAAATATTAAAAGTTACTTGAAAAAAATCATGAAAATGTTAGAGCTTGTGAAATTTTGGTGATCTCATAGGATTTTGCACATTTTATTTATATATTTTATATTATTTACAATATATTCCCCACTTTAGTAGATGTGTGCAGTGTTTAATAATAATAATAATAATATTAGTCAATTGCAAAAGGCGGCCTTACTAGGAACTGCTTCCATCCTGCGACGATATCTGTAATACATCAAACATCCACATCTGCCTATCCCAGGTCCTGGGTAAGGATTCGATAGGTAGACAAAATGCCAAATCCAGTCTGAACATCTGGCTGACTGTGCGATGATCCATAATAATAATAATAATAATAATAATAATAATAATAATAATAATAATAATAATAATAATAATAAAGTTGGAAGGGACCTTGGAGGTCATCAAGTCCAACCCCCTGCTCAGGCAGGTAACCCTATACTATTTCGGACAAATGGCTGCCCAGTTTCTTCTAAAAACCTCCAGTGTTGGAGCATTCACCGCTTCTGGAGGCAGGTTGTTCTACTGGTTAATTGTTCTAACTGTCAGGAAGTTTCTCCTTAGTTCTAGGTTGCTTCTCTCCTTGATTAGTTTCCATCCGTTGCTTCTTGTCCTGCCTTCAGGTGCTTTGGAGAATGTTTAATCACATTAATTATTACAACAATTATAAATTTATTCTATAGTTGCAAAATAACTCTCCAAATCAACCACACAGCCAACAAGAAATAGCACTGACCCTCAACCAACCCAGCCAAGCCCCCCCCCAGCAGTTCACCTCCCAATGACCCTGGACCTGAGGTAATCTCTCCATCGCAAGACCCATCACAAGACTCACTGATGGCTCACACCTGGCCCATCACACGACCCATCACAGACCCTCACTTGATGCAACCACACCTGAAGCCCATATAAACAGAACACTGACATCCCCTTAACTCTGCAGAAGATGTTACCTAGCTTGGTAATGAAACATTCAGAAACCAACCCACAAGCTCGGAGAACGAACCTTCACCCTCATATCATAAATATCTATGCCAGACATATCAAACTCATGATGTCATATGATGTCATGCAACATATTGGGATGGTATTACCATTGCTGGCAATGGAGTGGACGCAGCTTCCAGCAGTTTGACATCCCTGATCTATGCCATCCAGGTCATAATCTTTTAATTCCTTCTATTTCTCAGCAGCACCCAGTCTTTCATCCAAAACAATCAAGAAGCTGCAAAATACAGTTTCAAATCAGATAGACCCAATCCTCCTTTTTCCTTTGCACCTTGTAACACCTTATATTTAACTTAAGATTGTTTTCCATGACTCACAAATTTTGTCCTTCTGTCCCTGTTTAAATGGTACATCATTTGTCAAAACAGGTATTATCTGAAACAAACATAATTCTAGGAAAAGCATCCATTTTTATCACAGAAATTTGCATCACCAATGATAGTTGTAGTTTTTTCCCATTTTAACATGTCTTTTTAAAGTTCTTTCTATGTCTTAATATATTTTGAAATAACATAATTCATATGTGTCTTAGTGATAATCACTAACTTATCCTTTGATGTTAAAAGCCGTTTTATTCATCAGTTCTGCTTGATCTTCTATTTTCATGTTTTTTTGTTAACATCTTTATTTTTTATTTCTTTGAGCTAATGCAACAAATTGTTTCAGTTTTGCTACTGATGTTTCAATTCCCTTTAAAAAAATATTCCAAAACCAACATCAAGTGATAACAAAAGATCTTATAAGTTTCTTTTTTAAATTTAACTCCCGTGGTTTTCTCATCTTATATTTCTATTTAGTATTTCAAGATTTCAAAATAAACAAAAGAGGAGACAGTGGACATCCTGTCTTGTTCTTTTTTTTATTTCACACAAGGCTTTGTTAGATCTCCATTTACAGTTGTTTGAGCTTTCTGTGAAGAGTTAATTGATCTTACACTTTTTATAAAGTTTCCTCATAGGCACAAAGAATCAGGACCATTTGTAAGGTTGTAACATAGAAGATTTATTCAAGCCTATATGCAAAAATCTGGTCAATTAAAGTTCAACACTAAATTGACACCAGATATGAGTTAATGGAATTCAGGGAGAGTTAGACTTGCAGCACTTGTGGGAACACAAGGACTCTAAACTGATGGCTTGCTTATCTCCACCCTCTACCCCCGCCCCGCCTGCTCTTCTCCTACATCTCCAAAGACTTTCCAAAACTCTGAACATGAGAGCCCAGTTCAAATTATCAAAGGCCTCTGCATCTAAGAAGTGCAATAAAGCTTGTTTTTCAGTATGTTGCTCCAAATATTCCAAAATGTCAACACATCCCCGCAAATAAATTCTTGCAAAATTATTTTTCAAAGTGTGGTGTGGGAGTCCCTGAAACCATTTCAAGGAGTACATGAAGAGAAATGATAGATAGATAGATAGATAGATAGATAGATAGATAGATAGATAGACAGACAGACAGACAGACAGACAGACAGACATTTAAACATTTCAGTTTCAAGAAAAAATGATGGTTTTGAAATCAAATTTTTGTCATTATGCTTTACAGTTAGGCAGATTTAAATCAGACTACTATTAAACTTGTCCACTTTGGATTTATATGTGTATAGATGGAAAGTGTTAGGAGTAGCATATTCATTTTATTTGATTAAGACTAAAGATTCCACTCTTAGGTATTTAGTTTATTTGCTTTTCAATAATTTTATTATGATTTGAGCCTACACTAAGAAAGTTATTTTTTCAGTGTGGTATTCAGAATAATGCCAAGGGCATTCTTGTTGAGAAAACAGCTCCTTGTCATATATAATAGGAATAGCAGTATTGCTTTACATTTATTTATATACAATCAAATATTAATATCCTTCATGTAACTGTATGAGGGCCCTGGGTAACAGTTTAAGGTCTGAGACTTGAGCACCAGTCTGGAAGCTGAATTGAATGATGTTGTAGAAAAATATGGTGTATGGTATTTATATACTAATAATTCTTTTTTTTTCTTCCATTCAATCACGTTCTCAGAGACTGCTTAGATTAGTCCCTGAAATTTTTCTTGACAAGGTTTTTCAGAAGTGTTTTGTCATTACCTCCTTCCTAGGGTTGAGAGAAATTGACTGGTCCAAGATCATCCATTTGACTTTGTGCCTAAGACGAGACTAGAACTCATAGTCTCCTGTTCCTAACTTCATGTCTTTAATCACTACACCAAACTGGTTTTCCAACAATTCCTTTACCATTACATACTTGATTATTTGACTGATTGTTTAGTAACAGAAGGTCTGAGACAGATCTAAAGTTGTTAGTTATTCCCTCCAATATTATTTTATTTTGAAGCCAGCAACCAACCAGTTGCTTTAAAAGAAATAAAATAAAGAAGGACCTTTTACTCTTGAAGTGGTATGTTTACCAGCACCCAGACAAGTTGGGCAGGGGTCTAAACAACATGTGGGTGGCCATCACAACACTACAGAATCTGTCAACATCCTTGTTGCTCAAAGGATTCAAGCAGATGTAACCATGGCTGCTTCTGAGGCCCCCAATTCATTTTCTGTTACAACTGTCAATGAGCACGTAAGAACAGAAATAAGCAACATCAGTAGGAAAAATAAACATTATTGGCAGTAGGTTTGCCTAAAATAAGGCTCAAAATAACTGCTTTGTAAGCTAATCAGTCTGACATTCGCAATAAAGCCTTTGTGCTTGTGTTGTTCGTGCAAGATATTTTGTTATTAAAATCAGTTCAACCAATTCCAGATGGGAATGTGTAAGCTTGAAGATTCTATAAGAGTGAGAACTTATTTTATGAATGGCTGTTTTCAAATTTTGAATTGATTAGGTTTTTAAATTTGAAAAATTGTTTTAAGCCAATAGGTTGTTTGAACCCTTTTTTATACTCGTTTTATACCAAACTTTGTAGCTGGTTGAGGGGAATAGTATCTCTAGGAAAAAGAAATTGTGTCTGATACCTTTAGTGAAGTTTTGGTACATCCTTTTTTGAAAAGTTCTTTCCTGTACTCAGCCATCTTTGATGATTACCAACTTTTCCCCATCTTTCCCTTTTCAAGAAAGATGGTCGAACCGGTGATATTGCTTCTGCTGCAGAGTGCCTTAGAAGAAATGGAACCCTTTCAGTTATGATCTGGACCTGAGACGGCATTAGTTGCTGCGGTAGATTATCTTTTCTCAGGACCTCCACGGGGGCACTCCATTCATTACTGATCACTTGTGAAGGTTGTGAATACTATTTTTGATATTTCCAGTCCTTCCTAAACAAGCAATTCCAATCAAGGGCAGAGGAGAAGAAAAGTTGTTACAGTGATCACTTCCATGTGGCGTCCTTCAGGATTAAATTTTCTTCCATAGGTTTTAATGTTTATACGATCCTGCTTGGGGAGGGGAGACATTATCTGTCAATTTAGGATGAGATACCATCAGAACATTGTTGGTATTTAGCTCTATGTTTCTTCTGGGATACCATGAACATCTTGACCTGTTACCTGAAGGCTGTAGGAGTCTGGATAGGATGAAACAAGCTGAATTCAAAGCCTAACAAGAGGAAGACCATTTGATTCTTTGTTTGTCCTGGCTATAATATTGGAAGAGTGAAAGTCTCCTGTGACTTGGGTTTCCTCCTGAATTCATTGCTACTGCTGTTGGACTGCTAGAGACCATGGACGAGGGACAATCTTGGGCATACAATATAATAGCTGTTGTCATATGGGATTGAGGGAACATGGCAATGGTATCTCAATGGTATCTCATGGTTTCTCATAATTTCAAAAGAAATTATGGCAATGCATACCACATGGGGCTGCTTTGTGAACTGTTTGGAATCTACAGTGGCTGCAAAGTGCAAGTGTCCACATGCTGGAGATAAAAATTACTTTGGAATGTTATAGGGAGCTGCAGGTCCTGTACTGGTTGCCATGCCAATAAGTTTCCAGGTAAAGTTCAAAGTTTTAGTTCTGAGGTTTAAAGATAAACATAGGTTAACATCTAGCTAGCTAGTTAGTTAATTAGTTAATTAATTAGTTAGTGGAAATCATCTATAATATCTTACTCTGCAAATAGGGCCCTCCTGTTTTAAAGATTTTTTGAAGGGAGTGGAGAATCTAGTCTTTTTTTCAGACCCCACCTGAGATGCATAGTATTTCTCAGAATAGATATTGTTGTTCAGCGTGTACAGCATTGCAATGTTGTAGTCCCTTTGAATGTAATCTACAACTCATGTTAATACTAAAGATTAATATTTATTCTCTGGGAATATGGCCAAGGGAATTTGCCTTGACTTGTGCACCTAAAGGATCAAGAGAAATCTAGGCTTTGTTGATACAGTACAAAATTCCTCTTATTACAAGGAGAGGGATAGGCAACATGGGCACTAAAATACTAATAGTCTCGCTTTATGCCTGATGATTGTGTAGGCGCCTTCTGTTTTTTTAATTTTTTTTCGCTCTAAAGGAAAAGCTTTAAAAGCTATATAGGCCCATAAATATGCTTAGAAAATGAAAATGGGAATGGTTTATAAAGAAATCTGCCTATCTGTTCAGAAGAAAGGCGAATGCTAAGCAGGGATCATAGAGAATATTCTGGAGGGCTAGAAGGGATGACAAGGAGTACTTTCACTCATCAGTATCTGGTAAATGGATGTTAATGTAACACTTCAGCAGACATTTTTGAATGCCATCCCCTCTGGCCCTAATGACTGACACTTTGAGAGTAGCTCTGGCAAGCTAGTGGCTCAAAAATATCACTTGCCCTTGTGATAATAGATATAGAAGTAACTGAGCTCTTGCCTTCTTTATGGTCTAATCCAGGTGTCCCCAAACCCCGGGCCGCGGACCAGTACTGGGCTGCAGCATGCCAGCAACCGGTCCGCACAAACAAGCAAAGCCCCATCTGCAGGATGCAGGCAACACACAAAACCACGCACCCTCCGGTCCGTGGAAAAATCTCTCTCCATGGAACCGGTCCCTGGTGCCCAAAGTGTTGGGGACCTTTGGTCTAATCCATGAAGTCCATCTGATGATCATCCCTCCTGAGATGAGATTGGCTCTGCCCTTGCTGGCCTTATGGCTTTGCCATCTGGCCTGGGGATCTGGTGACATTGTTGAGAGCCTGCTAAATGGTTGTGCTTTTGAGGAAATGAATGGTGCTGTCCTGCATCTTATGTTTTTATGGCTTTGATTTTATTGATTTTAATATTTTAATGATTTTTGTGGCT